ACACACGAAGCTTAGATGCATAGAATGTCTTATCGATTGAGTCAGATCATCTTCTTTGTATGATCTCGGCTGATGTGTCCCCTTTGAACGGTAAAGAAATGCACACGGATTTTTTCTTAACCTCGGTGTTTTGTAAAGAGTTTTCCGTGCACTGAATCATCTTGTTGACTAAACGCTCCGGATATCCGTTACGTGCACAAATCGATTTTACAGTATGAAGCTCTTCTTCTAGCGTGTCCTCACTGTTCAAAGGGGACCCATCAGCCGAGACCATACAAAGATTATCTGATACAATCGATAAGACTTTCGATGCAGTTAAGAATCGTGTGTTGTTCACGTCTAGGCCAGTTGTGTGTTTGCGACTGAAGGATAAGGTTCCAGACTCTGCGGTCTCATTCTGTGTATACTTTATCAACTCTTTATTTATTGCATCGATAGAGAAAGATTTGAGATGTTAATATTTCGTTTAATGTCATCATCATCATTCGTCGACGTGAAATAAATAAGCACATTGGATTTGCAAATCCAAAAGAACGGACGTGCACGGACAGAATGGGGTTATTCAAATTAAAAACCGGAGTTCAACTCCATGGCAAGTGAACTGATGGCGTCAACATCATTTGGGTGCAGGAAACGGGATGATGTAATTGGATGAAACAAGGCCTCACCAAATGCCAATAGTTTTGCATCGCAGTTACGTAACAACGGTTTGAAAGAGAAAGCGTGATCAATCAGACATTCGGTTTTCGTGACGTGTTTTGCAATAAATGACCCCGGGTTCCGTGGGACCGCCTACTATCGAGTGTGGGTTGGTGTCGATTTCAACAACCGTATTGGAGTATTTTCGGCCATTCGTTGTAATGGCTGAAGAGATTAAACGAAATGTTAACACATCGCCACAGGTCTTCTTTCAGTCTTTATACGGAAATGAATCTTAAAAAATGCTTATTGACTGACATACGGGGAGGAGTGTCCGGGTAACCAACGTATCTGGAAACTGGTTAAAGAAATGAGATCATGTGATGCTAATTTATTGGTCCAGTACGATCACCCATCATCAGACATTAGTCGTCCGATTGATCCTGCAGCTAACCCAGCGAATGGACTGGGCTCTTTGATTGAAGCATAAAGTAGGTCTTTGACGCCGAGCAAATAGGCTTAAGTAGATTGGACTGCGCTGAGCCCGCAACGAGTACATCGGGCATGCCCCTACATTCAGTGCTTTCGTACAAAGCTCTCAACAGCCTGGAGATGCTTCCACATGGAATCCCATAAAGAATCGTGTTGGGTGCTTTCATTGTCAGTATGTGTTACGTTGATCAAATGGTTGAAGGATCCACACGGAGAAAGGAGCACGGTTTTGGTTTTGTCTCCGGTATTACCTCCTTTGACTGGCAAAACAAACACAGTACACTTTTTGTACATATCCGGTCTAGCTGAGATACATAGGCAGGCCGAGAATCGCCCGGGTCTGGGAGCATCTGTGACTGACCCCAAAGGAAAAAACAATCGAGCTCAAGTTTAGGACAACAAAAGCATCCAAAAAAGACTAGTCGTGACATTGGGTAAGTTGAAAAACGCCCAGGGGCCATATGTGTAAGCAGGAACATGGCACGGAGACTGCTATTGGCCAATTTTAAAGTGAAACCAACCAACAATTTGGTAGTTGATTCAAGGCGTTATGCAAATTTCATGTAAGGTTATTCAAGAATGGAGAAATTCAATAACAAATATCATGGTTTAGAGCATAGTTCAAGGGTGCAGATGGTTAAGAGGTTCGTCAGTTTCTGATGTTTTTGTTCGAAATGCGATTACATCTAGTCTGAGATAACCAATAACGAGCAGTAGATGGTTTTTTGTCCTTGTTGGGACCTAGCAGTTGGAGACTCGTGCCATCAACCTTCGGGTTAAGGGTAGAAGCATATATTCCCGGAGCTATGCGACCGATGATTAATGCACTGGACGTATGAATGGGTGAAATAAATATCTTCTTTTTGTATTAAGTTTGCGGCTCAAGTCTTGACAATAAGACAAACAATACACTGTACTGATGAGCTCCTATAAGGAAAAAACTGATGTGATGGATAGATGAATTTGAAAAAATGAGATCAGATTCAGCGAAAGCCGATGAAGGGCTGCGAATTCTCAGACTCTTCGGCCGAATACCGTAAAATACGGGGGAACATTATCTTCATTTATCAAATACTACATCGACCTAACCACTATCCAGCAATGGTCACCTCCGAGGACATCCGTTTAAACTTCTGCTTCAAAAGAACCGGCTAGACCGCAGGCGTCATTCTTTCAGCCTCAGAGTTAGTAACACCTGGAACTCTCTTCCACCTCAAGTTGTTTGTGCACCAACCATCGATTCATTCAAATCACGACTGGATGAAACATTGAAACACCCAACTTTCAGTATACGTGAGTGAACGGCAGAACTTGCTATTCAATCGTACTACCAACCGAACCCAGTGTGCACAGACACTATGGGATTTAATAAGCATCAGCTTTGTAATTTACCCAAAATAGAAATTTGAATTTGAGATTCAGCCACGTGAATTACTTAGATGTCACACTTGAAAGTAACCTTCGCTGGTCTTTACATACGTAAACCGTTGCTCATAAGCTGAGAGTTCTCTTCTTTCAGATAAGATAGCGTAACCTCTGTTCCAACTTGTTAGTGACAGGAGCTTTGGTTCAATAACGGGTTTTTCCTATACCTGTTTACTGCTCCCCTGCGGTTTTCCCTGGTTTGCTGAATGCCGATTTCGAGCTGCTGATGGGTGGCCTCTCGGGGATCAGCTATGTTTCCCAAGTTTCGTTATTTGTTCTGATTGACATCTTTGATGCTCATATTGAAGTTTATCGATAATGTTTTATCTGACTGTACCCATCATTTACACTCTGATATATGTGCATGCAAACCCGACTCTTCCACCAGTTCCAAGTTAAAAATCATCCCAACTTTGATATTTACCTGCAGAGACTCTTGCCCCGAACACTGACCGACACCGAGTGTTCGTTCTGAGCTTTCTCCCGCATTTAGTGCGTAATGCACATTTTGGCACGCTCGATGCCTCACTTTTGTTTCAGTATTGTAACGGTGGTCTCTTTTTNTCTCTTTTTGGCTGAAAGCGTGAATATAACTCACCAAAGCTTCCATACAATACAACTCCATCACCACGTCCACAAAAGACCATAATGTGAATGTAAATAGACAAAAGAATAAAATTGCGTTTTTAAGTGTTTCCTTATATATACAACACCCCCAGTGTGCGTGTGGTGCGTACCAGAACTTGATGCCTTGGTTTCGTGCATTGTTCAACACGTGACAAGGGTATGAAACATTAAATGAACTCCAGTAAATTCTGAATTCCTCTTGGTTCGAGAATATTGACAAATCAGCTCTGTTTTCGACTGGTCTAACATCCAACAAGATGTTAACTGAAAAGCTAAATGGACGAAAAAGTAAGTACTTCAACAAGGACTGAAGATTGCATGTTTACGGAGGAATGAGGAATGCAGGCTAGACGGCATCCCACGTAACCGAGACGCAAGCAAAAGGCCATAATATAACTCCACAATCTTTCTATTTAACCCTACTGGATTTCGCTTCATACAAACGTGATTGTAAGGGCTTAAAAATAAATTCGCGGAAAATATACGTTCGCCTACGTTGAGTGTTACGAGCCAAATTATTAACGATTGAATTTTTGCGCTAATAGAACTATCCGTATTTGAACATTACTACTCAAATGAGCCGCTTTCAAATACAGCAGAGTATTTCCATGATTATGCGTCCCTACTATATCTATGACACTTCAGTTTGACGTACCATCCGCGTCGACCGCTGCTCATGTTATTGAACAATGTACACCTTAGGGGACAGTTTCAAGCTACTGATTCCAAAGTGTTGACTGGAATGCCGGTGACAGTCTTTTGCAGTCAGAGTATGCAGTTCTTGGAACGCCCTTCCATCTCACTTCGTCTGTGCACCCATTATTGAATCCTTCAAGCAGGGAGTCGATGAAACCTCGGTACACCTCACATTCGTACCTCATTAAAAGCAAACACGAATTCACTGAAGCCTACATTCTCTTATAGCTCCTACCCGGAACTCTATGTGACTTCTTTTTCGGCGTGTGACGATTCATTTGTGTAAATATCCTATGGGGACAAGAGAAGCACAAGCTTGTAATTTGTTCCCGTAAAAAACTTTGACTTTGTGAGAAAAATGACCGGGTACTCATTTGAGAAAAAAGAAGTGGGTGCACTGAATGAACGTCAGTTGAATATCTTTGAGTAAGTTATTGACTTTGAAATTCAAACGACATTTTGATTACTCTATTGTGAATGGCATTCGTTTTGTTTACAAAAGAATCCCAAATTTCATTGGAATAGCGGTGAGTATAGCAAAAAATTCAGAATAGCGGAGCACAATTTCTCGATAGAGTCGTGGTACCGGATTGTGGGACAAAAAGTGAAATCAGTGGGGATTTTGTATGCATGTGAGTGTGCACAGTGGGACTAGAATTGGCCGGCTAATTGTGAAGATTGTGATTCGCATAAGATGGTAACTGGAACCTTTTATAGGATCGAGTTACGAAACCGGAAGGATTACGCTAATTTCATACGTGGTTTTGTTTTGTCAGCAAGGCAAACGAGTGATCCGTGTGTGTGTGAGCAGACAGCAACGTGGTCACAGGGTCCTCGTGATTATGGGTTTCCACCCCGTCTGCTGTTCATCACACGAAAGTGTGTAATAAAAAAAATTGAGCGTATGAACCGTGTCGGATACGTTATCAAACACATTAGCTACACAAAATCTGATATTCTGCCCGCGTGACCGGAGTCACATGACCCAATTCGTACACAGATGTGTCCCACCAAAGCTGGGACGCGTCTGCAGAAATCACCAGTCGGTTGCGCAACTCATCCAACGCCAGGTCACCAGGTTTCAATTTAGGATGCGTTACTTTTTTGATCTGATCATATCGTTGATCACCGGGGACGAAATACACTGTGCATCGTTGTCCAGCGATTGTACAATCTACTGGTAAAGGGCACCAACGACGAGAGCCTAGACTTGCTCGGTGCCGAGCGAATTCAGTCAGTTTGTCTAAGTGGATGAATTGGCACAACCGACCGAGTTCATACATTTGTGGTGGAACTAGTGCACGTGTGGAATCGTGCAGGAACGCAGGTGGTTTGCCTAAATACATCGTTTCTGCTTCGCGACTCCGCCACGTCTGATGACAAGTGCTTGAAGTAGGTGTGACTGAGTCCAGACGCACAAAATAGAACATAGTGTCGAATCGCGGAGAGAATTTCTGTGGTGTGAGCCAATTGCACCACTCAAACAGAGCACTGATTGGTGGTTTATGATTCAGTTCAGCGTAGAGTTTGGCGAATGATGAAGTATCCATGGTCAATTGATTTTGCCAATAATGAAGCACTTTGTCATCAAGAACTATGGCGTTCACAGAAGAACCACTTTCAACAAGAAGTAATCCAGTCTCTTCGAACAGTTCTCTTAGAGCACACAAACGAAGACCCACAGTAGGATGCAACGAGTCCGGAATCTTGGCCAGTTGAAATTGTCGCATGACCTCGGCGTACATGGGCGGATATGTGCGTGCTTCGAAGCTCATATTCAACGGGACGCACTCCTTCCACAAGGAGCCATCGAAATCGGTTTCACACACCAAACCACCGGGAAACACAACCTTTCCTTTGAAGGAGATTGATGACTTCGGTCTTTTAAATAAGAGAACATAATAGTCATGCGGAAACTTGCTGGTTGAATAAAATTGGATAGGTAAACGACCCGACAGTTGATCAACTAGTGAATCTTTCAAAGTTAGGATCACCGATGCAGAAGACTTCCAAGTGGGTCGGCAACAAGCCTGCTGCGCGTGGGGGCGGAATACAACTGATTGAAGAATGTTCAGGGCTTGTGGAACAAGCCACGTTTGTGACCGGTGGAATAACCGAAAATGATGTAGTTGAACCATTTGTGTGATACGGAATTCTTCGATCTTCACAAATTAAATGGTGGACGTCTGCAACAGAAAGAAAACACACCAGGGTAATTTTTCATGAAAAATGAAAATAAACGACGCAACACAGACAGCGTGACTCTGATCGTGCGAGCGAAACGCCGTTGTCTATCCTGATTGTGGTCAATACAAGCCGAAATTAGTCTGAAGGCAGGTGTGACTGTAGCATTCATGGTTAACAGAAGTTTGTCTCAATGCTCTCACTAGCCCAGGCAACAACTCGGATCCTAATAAACACGTTTAACAACTATTTGTTGCTCCCACACACAATAACTAGTGTGNAGCTCCCACAAATGTCATGAACGACAGCACACAGGTACCGAAATCGATCCCACATCAAACAAATTATACTGAGGTCGAATTCCGTGACGGATAGTCAAGCGCATTACGCTTTAATCTGTTTCAGCTTATTCAAGCATTAACCACGCGCGATCGTGTGGCAGTTTTGCTTGCTGTCTTTTGGCCACTTAGATTGGAGAGCTGGAAGCAGTGGAAAAGTGGAAATAGCGAATTCAGAGAGACCAAGGTTACAAAAACAGTGAAAAGATACACAAATGCCATTGTTTACAACACTTTCACTGTCTCTAACGGTCGATTACGCTGATCGCGAGGTAACCAACCAGGAAGTCTAACGTGATGTATATGGCCGAGTCCCTTGATTAAGGTTTTCATACCTTCATGCCAGGTTCTAGTTTTACCACCCTGACTTTACGTTTATCATGTATCCCACACACATACACACACCATATTCCGTGGTAATCTCTTTCGTGACGTGCTTAACACGTACCCAACGTAGGCAATCATAAGAATATTGTCGGTAAAGCATTAAACTGCTATTGCATGCTTTACTGTGGAGATTCTTTTGAAATGGAAATATTACATTCTACGCTAGTGATCCGCCTCGGATAAGCATTAGGCTTACGTCAAGGTGAATCATCCGTTTGTTTAGGAGAACCGTACAATACAACTTCTCACAGAGAGGGAAAACTGAAGAAATAAAAAGACATGTTAGAGAAATACTAGGTGAATTTCTAAAAATACATCCAGAAGCATAACTGATACAAATGTTCAGAAATCTCGCGCGCTTGAAAGCCTCAAGTGACAGATTAAGAACATTGAAACCTTGAAGATCTGCAATAGACTGCGACTGTTTTTACTTGATTCAAGGAGGATAGAAACAATCCAAATAACGCACATTGGTTATCTATTGCGTCAGCTCGTGTGCACCGAAATGTCAATCAGCCCAGACCACCCAATGACACTAATCATTTGCACGGAAGTAGGCTATCTGAGAGGCGGAATTCATTAAGTTTATCAGACGGCTTGAACAGATCACATCGATTGTGCTATCCGATGCGAATCAATCAGGAATGAATGATTCTCAAATTTTGAAACAGGATCAACATAGATATGTGCTCACATATAATGGGGGAATGAAGGCACGTATCGATTTAGTTTCAGTCGTGTCACCAGAGAGGAACTCGAATTAAGTAACATTCCCTCTGCAGTCAGAAAAGTAACCGTTTACTGACAACACGTACTAGATATAACAAGTAAAATACAAATATGGTTCATGCTTCCGAACGCAAAGACTAAAAACTCAAAAACTCACTTACATATACATATATGCCCCAGTATCTCCGATACCCCAGAAGTAGTCAGATTCTAAAAGGACCAGTAAGCAAATGAAAGATTGTAGAACGCAACTAAGCGTTGATTCGTGGCCTGAAAGTAGCAGTCATAGGACTTAAATTTCGACTTGGGCCTTTTAGTATGACTGTTTTGGAGCTACGGAAATACTGACAGACAGATAAATTATACCATAACTCCATAAAGAGCTCATGAGAGTAGTGGAGGATTTATATGGCGAATTCGCTGTGAGCTGAAAAGCACCGAACAGCTGTTTCGACCGGGTTGGGTTTCATGCAACAAATGGTCTGGAGATCAGTGAGGTCCGTTGCCCGTGACAAGCTCACAAAGATCGGTTGTGCTCTATTCAAAATGAGAGACGGTCTGATGAGCTGCCCGAGTGGGTAGTATACTTGCCTTCTACCTGAGGTCCCGGGTTCGATGGATTCGCAGTGTTGACGAGACCCAACCAGATCGAAACAGCTGTCCAGCTCACGCCCCATTTACACGATGAATTCACCATATAAAAAAGAGCTCAGGCTACGCAAACAGCATATACAGAGCGAGTTTAGTTTTGGCAGTCTGGAGAAGGAAAGAAGTTGTTGATATATTCCTAATGATGAAATTTTAAAGGAAGGGAGCGGGAAAAGAGGGGAGGGGGGAGAGGAAACCCTATCAATATGTTACAAGTTTCGACCGCTCATTCAGTAGTTGAGTTTACAGAAAAAATCGTTTGCGTATTCAATGCAAACAGATTCATCACCCTAAAGACCAACTTTATTGATGATTCAAGCCGTCATTTACAAATATGCATCCAATGGAGATTTCCTACTTGTTTGTACCGTGTACAACCAATTTGGACACCTCAAGCGCTGCGTCTGCAGTAACGTAACCAATTTTGTATCAGTCCAGGTTTACTGCTCATGCACGTATGGGTATCTAGCGGCTTAGAGTTCAGTTGACCACTTCCCTAACAATGTATGTTATTTAGCTGTGAGAACCGATCACCTGTGGAACACAAATACCGTCAGGTTATATTTAAAACACTACTAGCGAACTCCTTCCTTGATTTTGGGATCTGATAGTGGCTGGCACTTTGATCATTCACTCCTTCTACCGCCCTCCTCACCCCATGTCAGTATCTGTCCTAATAACGAAGCACTGGAAAAAGCACCATCCTCTGGATCACTAAAAAGCAGTAGAAGCGCTGCACAGCTGTTTCATTAGAAATCGCGAGCGGTGCATAGTCCACCTTGTTCTATAGCCGACTACTCAAGTGAACAAAGCACTGGTCACTTATTTGGTGGACAGTCTAGATTCAAATCACGAGATGCACAAAATATGATTTAGAACAAAAAGGACGAAGATATAGAATAATTGCAAGTAAAGAAAAAGGGGGTGGGTGGGTTTGTACTAATATTTGAATTAAGACATTCAAGCTTTGCTATTTAATATATTTGGAGGTTGTTTTACTAATGTGACTTCGCGCTTAACTGAGGGCGTTCTTAGGGAGTGCCGGTTAAGTCTATCGCGGTCACGATGTGCGCGCGTATGTGTGCACAATTCTCATCAATGAATTCCACGTCAAGTCCGGACATTCGACCATTATCGCCTAAACCCCAATCGAAGTTGGTAGGAAACAATCAAGGTCCCCAATGATGTGAATACCTTTGCTTGATACAGTGGCACAACTGAACTAAACCACAGGAATCCGATCGCTGATTCGTCATCTTAGCACTGCGGTGAGATTCACAGAACTGGCAAGAGGAAGACAGACTGCACAAACAAAACAGACACGTCCCACGCGCCATGAAAGCAAGAAGACGGACCGGGTGTAAGTGTTTGTGGGTATACTGATACCAAATTACAGCGTGTCATAATTAGAGCTATGAAGAGATGGAGAGAAACAATGGGAACAATAACACCAATGAAGAAACGTATTGGGATGGTTAGGGTTGGAACGAAAAGAGGTCGAGGATCGACACAAACCAAGCGGACAAGTCACATTGGAAACGGGATGGATGTGACAGAGATACAGAGAGGGGGAGAGCCAGATAGAGCGGGAGACAGAGATCGAATTGGTTCGAGTTATGTGACGGGCAGGGATGAAAGGTATAACAAAACAAAACAAAATTACTCGTCTGGTAATATTCCGAAGAATTTCAATGTGATGAAAGAAAAATATCGGAATTTTAATGGTTCGTGCTACACGCGGGAGTTGAGAAGGCGGGCAATTGAAATGCATGTACTGGTAACGGTGGAGGGCAGAAGGCGTAAAGAGGTCAGACTGTAAACGGATAACCATAAAATACATGCACAACAGAACGTGTGCAACTCATTTCATAGACAGCCTTTTGCGGAAAAGTAACAGTCACTTAGGACAGGCGAGGGGGGTGGGGTGGGGAAAAAACACCGAGCTAATTTTGATGTGTGATCGGTCTTAAAAACGAGGAGAGGAACAGAGATGAAATGGTGCTGAGGGGGGGGAGACGATAAAAAACAAAGTGAATTCGATCAGTGTGTGTGCACGTGATTTTATTCACGGGACCACAGAAATAGACAGAAAGATAAACAGACTGCCCGGGTGAAAGTGAACGCGTCATGGGTGGCAAGATCAAAGTAGCATGTGTGAACACTGGTTGGAGGGAGTGAGGGGTCGGGAAAACGAGCCAGATACCACGAGCTCCGATGAGAACAGCGGAACCGGTCTGAGAAGAAAAAGCGAGTGGTGCAGGAGTAGTCGAAATCGCACAAGGTTGGCGGATTGCTCACAGCTTACTGCGTTTTCTATCCGGCTCATCCATGGACCCGGGTGTAATGCCCCCTGGTGGCGCACCGGTCATCCATGAATCGTGATCGGACATTTGAGGAACCGGTCGACTGAGACCCATGGAATCTTCATAATCATATCCTCCATGCCCGAAACCACCGACAGAATGCTGGTTACGCAGAGATAAGATAAGAGGAAAATTTCATGTAGTATTTGGGAACGTTAGTTTTCACTGACAGTCTGGAAACCACCGAACGAAAAGAACACTTTATGAATGACTATTTGAGATGGTTGCCACAGAGATATACTGCAAATACTAACAAATTTCTATGCATTACATCATACACATGACCAAACCGCATTTAGGTATAACCGGTAATGACCACACACACATACACATACGAGTGAGGTACGTTCCATAACTCATGACCGGGTGATCACGCTTTTTCTATCACGCATCACGTACTCAACGCGTGTAGTGACAGTGCGATATCTGATATCACACAGCCGTCGTGATTGGTGAATGTGCTTGCTTGAATTGCGTTAGAATGTTGCGCGCGCGCAGGAAGACGTGACCGTTCAGTCGTGAGTCCTGAAACGTAATGCCACGTAGTAAAATCAATTACCAGTAAAGTGGTATCCGATTTTATCTGCGTCAAATTGTCGCAAGTTACGGAATCGATTGGTTGATTCAGTACTGGACGTGGGAGTGAAAGTCCGATAACGAGCACAGTCAGACAACGAACACATAGTGAAAGTTTTCAGTGATGAGGGCAAATTCAACATCGCCAGGCAGGCTGTCTGATCTAGAATATGCAGACGACACTGTGCTACTAAGTGAAGATTCAGGTAAGTTACAAGCCTTTCTGGATAGTTTGAGTGCTAGTGTAACCAGGTTCGGTATGCGTTTTGCACCTTCAAAGTGTAAAATGTTACTTCAAGACTGGGTTGGTCCTGCACCCAGCCTCACCAAAACTGGGGAAGTAATAGAGCAAGTAGACATCTGTGGAGCCGTCGCGACATCAGGCTGTCTGTTAAGGGTCGAGTGTATGCAGCGGCAGTTCGGCCAGTTCTGCTATACGGAGCAGAAACTTGACCATTAAGGAAACAGGACAAAGATGGACTGTCAGTGTTTGAACACCGCTATCTACGCAGCATTGCACGAATCCGGTGGGCAGCCGGACGAGCAATGCTGAGGTTAGGCACAGAGTTTTAGGTAAATGCGGTCGCTCACTGAAACAAGTGGTCGACCTCCATAGATTACGTTGGTAGGGGCACGTGTTACGCATGTCATCAAATAGGTTGTCACGGCGAGCGGTGTTCGCCGAGGGATGTAGTGGGTGGAAGAAAGTCAAGGGTGGTCAAGCTAAGACCTGAAATGAGAGTATGAAAACCCTAACCAGGAGTCTGGGTCACATAGGTCGATTTCTTCATGAGCCTGTAGAGTGTTCACTAATGTTGAGACAACTTTCACAAAGTACCGATTATACTGACGGATTATCCGGTTTTATTGTAAATTATTGATAAATTGAGCAAAAAGACTAGCACTGCATTGGGCCATCGAAGCACAATCGGATGCACCGAACGATGCAAATGGGAAATGAAAGGTAGGAAAACATATTGCGCAGGTGGTTTAACCATGGTCGACATCGGTTTGAATTTTTCGACCACCTTGAGGCGTCACCAACAGAACATAGGCAACCAAATAGTTGATTCCTGATTCACGCCGGGCCTTGTTTGCCGTTGCCAATTCAGGGTGGAGAAAATCATGTGACAGTCAACAGCTAACGTAGATACGGTCAGGTATGTACCTCTTTCCTTCAAGACTAAGGTGGAGCAGACACTGCAGCTAGTTACTTGTAAACACTCGAGGGAATGGCAGTAGTGGCGTTTTTGTAGTTATTTTTTTATCACGCTTGAAGAGATGTGTAAAGAGAGTTAGATTGTATCTTGTTGATTACAGAGGTCGGATTCTTCCAGATCATCAAAACATACCCATTCCCTGAACATTGGTGTTCAGTTTTCCCAACGATTAGCCATGGATTTTCGTGCGTCAGTTTTGGTTGCAGTCTCAGGATTGACCAGTTGAATAAAAGAGCAGAAGAATGGAATTTTGTGAGCAGAATCAAAGAGATAGAGAATTCCCATGGACTACGATTGGAAGGGTAATGAGTAGATGCACGAGCGTCACTGTTTGCGACACTCAGCCATATCAATGAGTGTCTCTAACCACCGATTACAGTGATCCCGCAGTTTCCATGCAGGGAGTTTAGCACCACCTATGTGACCAAGACTCTTAGGTTGACCGCCCTTGATGATGATGATGATTGTTTCGTATTGTCAATATACCATAAAGCACAACTCATCTTTGCAGGCTTTGCGAGTTCCCAGTTCGTGTATATAGGCACTAATCTGCGCAGTTTATTACTCGAGTGCAGATACGCACAATCATAGGACTAAAACCAGCAGTGCCGACACTATGCGGTTCAACAAAGCTAGGTGAGTATAGGGGAACGTATGGAGCTTACGTAACCCGTTCTTATCTGAACCAGAGACAAACACTTTCCTACCCCACCTCGGGATGATGGTCACCAATGGTTAGAGACACTGAGTGATATGGTTGGGTGTCGCAAACAATGGCGCTCGTGCATCCACTTATTATTCTTTTAACATCACTCTATATGAATTCTCCATTTTCCGCTTATATTTGCTTTCAACATTCCAATCCTCATTCTGCTCTTTTATCCGAATGGGGCACAAACAGACAGCAACAAAAACCGGCGCACAAAAGTGCATGGTTAATGGTTCTATAAACTGAAACTGATTTGAAATGATCAGATTAACCAGAACAAACACCTTTGTGAAACAATAATCATTTAGTAAGAAGAATGAACTTCTATGCTACTCTGTACCCAATATTTTCTAATTTTTAACTGTGACTTTCGAACTATCATACATTTTATCGTGATACTCAAGGTGAAGTCAACTCAAACGGTGATACCAGAGAATTAGGAACAATGATGTGGGAGATAAAGGTCGGAATGCTCTTTATCCACGACTATCGATATTTAAGTATAATATTGAAAAATGAAATACATTTCCAAATCGAGAATGATGTCGAACGAGTTTCCGCTTGGATAACATTATCCCATAAAACACCGCAAGAACCTGTCAAAATTAAAGTCGAAGTTTTATTATGGGAAATACTTACAAGCGATTGCTTTTCTAGTCTCATAGGATTTGGCACAGATGAATCGGTTCACAGTTCATATAAAGTAGATGAATGTCACAATTTGTCCTTTTTTCGTGCTCTTCTACGGATGTTGAAATTTAAGACTTTTCAAAGCTTCATTCAGTTTGTGCTTGAATGAATCAATTGTGGGCGGAGAAACAACGTATGGTGGTAGAGAATTCCAAGTTATGCACACTCTGAGGGCGAATGAATGACACCGACATTCTAGTCGGCATTTTTGGAGCACTAATTCGA